TGGTGCATTATTCATCAGTGCATGTTATTCCAAAGAGAAAAAAAATGAACATGAACATATGAACATGATATTTAGAGGTATTGAGCACTCCAAAACATTTAATCCAGCTTTCAAAAAACAGCAGGAAACACAGACAAAATCTCTGATCAGGTCTCTTGAATGGCAATCATGCCTGAAATGTAGAAACTGTTAAGTGCCTCAAGGGAGGAATTATGTGAAAGTGACTCCACATTTTAGTCTAGTTGAGATATCCTCAGAGGCTTGTGTATTTAATTGCACTTTTGCACATGCACAAATGACTACTTGTCCAAAGTCATTTGAAAATTCTGTGTCGTGGTATAGCCTAGCCCAGTGGTCTCAAACTCGCGGGCCGCATATTTTGTGGCCTCCTACTTGACATTAAAGTTTAATGTTAGTGCGGCCCGTCGTTGCGTATGTGCCGCGTTTAAAAAAAAAAAAAAAAAAAAAAAAAAAATATATATATATATATATATATATATATATATATATATATATATATATATATATATATATATATTTTTTTTTTTTTTTTTTTTTTAAACGCGGCACATACGCAACGACGGGCCGCACTAACATTAAACTTTAATATATATTATATAAAATATATATATATATATATTTGTTTGTATCCCTTATGGGCTACCATAGATAGTTTCGTGACAGCTTACGGTGGGTTTGTTGTCAATAGTTGTCAATGACAACCGCGAAGTACAAACATGTAACTGCGCCTGGAAAAAATGAGCGCGTCGCTTCAATTATGAGCGCGCTTGCGCGCGCCTACATTTGAAATAACGAACTTGAGCGCGCAAAATATGTGAGCGCGATTTGTGAACGGCCCCTTGTCGAGCTAACACCAATCAGGCCACGAGCTACTGGTAGCTCGCGAGCGACGTGTTGGAGAGAGACCCTGCTCTAAAACAATGTGAGGATAATCATTTTGAGCTTGTAATATGTGTCCAACAGGTTGATAAGACGGTTTGCTTTGATTTGTGCAAAGTCAGTCATTTGCCTGAGACACTATACATGTGTAGAAAGAATTAAATAAGACGGGCAGACATGACTGCAAATATTTGTATTTCAAAAACAATAATTAAAAAGGAAATGTGCCTTCCAAAAAAAAAAAAAAACATTCAATATCATTAATGTGTTGTATAAAGAAAATAAAAAGGACATAAGCAAATATAAATATCACAAATATGTGTTATAGACAAAGAAAGTTTGTAAAAATGAACTTCAACTGTCAGAAGGACAGCTCATGAAGAACCAATCATGTACAGAAAGGAATGTTCAAATTCAGAGGAACAGTTCAGAAGAAACGTTAATAATAAATATTGAGAAGATTGGATCAGTTGTGCTCCTTTTTTGGAATACTTGATTACTATTTTTTGTGGAATACTTGATGTGGCCCAGCCTGACCCAGACTCTACCTCCATCGGCCCCCAGTTAAGTTGAGTTTGAGACCCCTGGCCTAGCCCTATTATTGTTGTTTTAGCATCATAGTTGAAAAGTCCTGACCAATACAAATAATTTTTTTAAGGCTTCCTGGCCTTTAGTTATGAGTTTAGAGAGAACATTATATAAACACTCGTTCTGCTTTTAGCCATAGTGTCAGTGTAGCAGCATTTTGCCCTTTGACCTGCATCTCCAAGGTGCCCCTCACTGCCAGTCACTAGCAGGAGAGGCCAGGCAGGGCACTGTAGCGGTCAGACCCCCTCCCTCACCGGCATCTGATCGTCTGTCAGCAGCAGCATGCTAAAACACAAACACAACAGAGGGCATAGAAGGGAGAGAGAGGAAATTTTAAACAAATGCAAAAGCAATGCATTTCATTCAGTGCATACTTTCTAAAGAAAAAGTATGCATGTTCGCAACACTGTGATAAATAAACAAATAAAAATTACCAGAAAAAATGCAGAACTCATTAGAAACCTACAATATCATACATGAATATAATGCAAACTATAACGAAGAATTTTAACTGTTTCCTTTATTTGATTTTGTTAAAACCAAACCATATTTTCTCCAAATAACAGCATTAAATTCAAACTCTTACACTCAGGGTATAAGCATACTTTACTGTTTCCTTTAAAAAATAGTTTTTTAGATATATTTTTTTATGGTTGACTGTATTTTACTTGATTTGATTAGACTTATATTATTGGATATTAATTAATGGCTATTACTGTATGATATAATGGGTGAATTGGTGTTTAAGAAATACAGTAGGACGATGCAAAGACATGCTGCCCTCTAGTGTTACTTTGAGTAATATTTGAATCCTAGTAACAGAAATGTTAAAACTGAAACGTGTAATTTTGTCTGTTAAAATACTTTATCATGTCATCATATCCAACCTTAATAAGCAAACACAGTCACTATTAATTATATATTTAAAAATGTGGTGATTCTATGCATTTATATGTTTGTATGTAGCCTGCGTGTATAGGCTATATGAATGGATGCCTGTATACCATTTGTTTATTTAATTATTTATTATTGGTGATTTTTATTGGCTCCAATTCATTAATTAATTAATCAATTCATTCATTCATTCATTCATTCATTCATTCATTCATTCATTCATTCATTCATTCATTCATTCATTCCTTCGTTCATTAATTAATTAGGGCTTCAAATCCAGGTTCCAGGTCACTTTAAGAGGTCCAAACCTTTAATTTTCTTCCACCTGTACCAGCCAAGTATAGCATAGTAGAAATGTACTTGTCAGGTCCTTCAAGGCCTGCATGGAGCATGTACACTAGAAAGTCTGTTTGTGATAGGCCAGACAAAAAACAGGACATGCAATCCCTGAGGTGACAGCTCCAAGGACTCAACATGAGAGGACATTTTCACTTCATTTTCCCTTGGCCTGGAGCTGCAAAACAGTGTCTATGATGATGACAATGTGTAAAACATGCCTAAAATACCACTTTACTGAAACCAAAGGGCCTAAACTCTAGTGTCATATTGTTAGAAAAAGAAGAAGAAAAAAATACAGATTTGTCCTTGAGTTGTACAGGGGTGTCGTCATTCTATCTACCAGGGTGGACATTTTCTTGGATTGCAAGGTATTTTCCTGTTTCGTGTGCATTATTGTACATTGTCTATACAGAGAAATGATCAGCATTTGTAAAAGTGTCTAGAAGTTCTGAAATATCAATATATTGTTGTTAACGTTAAGGTTAAATTAGTTAACATTATAGCACATCAACCCCCAGTTTCATAGAAGGCTTAAGCTACAGTAGTCCCAAAATGCATGAACTGGTTTAACAGAAAGAATCTTGCACTGACATATCTTAAAATATGCCAGTGCCATTGTTTTGTCTCAAGCACATCAGTCATGTTTTTTTTCTAAGGAGTTTTTATAAAAGCTATACTTAGGCCTAATCCTGTTTTAATCTAAGCCCTGTCTGTAAAACCAGGCCTAGTTATAATGAACTGTAACATTGAACATTTTTCATTATCTTTATCATTGTCTTTGATTGAGCATTTATTATCTTGGTTAATGATCATTTAAAAATACACTATTGATAATTGTTAATTGATTTGGGGTGCGTTTCCCAAAAGCATCGTTGGCCAACTATGATCGCAATTTCCATTGAACTCTATTGGTAACGGTGGAACTTGCGACCATGGTTGGATTTGGGAAACACACCCCTGGATGGAGCCAGCATCTATAAATAGTTTGTTGAGTTAGCATCATCTACTGAGAAGCGAAGGGAAAAGTGCTCACCCCTGAAGTGCTGTCAGCTGTCAAGCCAGATCTCCAGACGGGCAGGGGGCATGTGTGAGTGAGAGGACAGACGGTTAGAGGTAGGGGGAGTAGGTATGAATTATTCTAAATAGCCACCCATACTGGGAGAGTCTTAATTTGGATACTAATCTCCCTACATACTGTACTGTCACATTAGGTTTAGTAGTGCATTCAGTCATGGCACCTCATGATGTTCTGTGCCAAGTTTGGATTTCTACAAGGAACTTAAAACAACACAATACAACTAGAAGCCTTAGGCTGTTAAAAGAAAAGAGTCCATTGGTTTCATACCATAAAACAGTCCTTAAGAGTCATTGTGTGCCATACGTTCCTTGTAGAAATTGTAAATACACTTCATTTATTCACTTTATTTCTGTTGACGTCCTATCTTTTAAAACACTTCCCAACCTCACACAGTTTAATCTGACCCCAATTTTACTCTTGTAACTCTACCGATTAGGCCAATTGTTACAACTTAAATGCCAGCTTTTATAGACTTGAAATCTAGTGCATGAGTATGGACTATATTTTTGGAGCCGCATTAATCACTGTCCAATTGTATTGTTTTAAGGAGTTTAGCCAAATATAATTTAAAAGTAAACTGTACAATTTGAGTTTACAAGACGTTGAGTTTGAGATGTTTAAAAATCTGAAAAGCATACATAAATTTGCTCAGTTATAGTCTAAAATGGCCATGTATGATCTTTGAACTGAGAACAGACTGACGTAGATATTAAAATACATTTATTTATAGTACAACTTCATGTAACACATTTTACAATAAAGTGCACTAAACAACATTTAACATTTAAAAATGCATTGATATCATACATGATAATTCACAAGATAAATAAGTATTTTGTTAGCATATTTTTTAATCGTACATAGGCTAGTACATTTTTAAAATGTATTTATTTAAAATAATATTCTTAAATTAACAATACGTTTAGAAATGCTTACACATTCTTGAAAGTGTATTGTACTATTATTAAATAGCTTACTGTAGGCTTACTAAAATGTCATTTTAAAATGTCAATCATAAAAGAATACTTTTAGTATACAGAAATTGACTTTTTATGACATTAAACAGTTTATCAAATGTCACAATGTCAACATTAAATACATTAGCATTTTCAGTCAATTTTTGATGCATGATTCATCTCTGTTATTCATTATGTATCTTTTTTATTTATTTAAATAAATGTGTTCTATGTCAACACTGCACTGTAAAATAACCATAATTCTACAAAAACATGTTCATCATCAGCTTGCCTGCCATCATTTGCAGAAGGTTTTATATGTTAAACCACTCAAAAATACAAATCAATAGTCATTTTGCAAATAAAAACAGCTGCTGTAATTATTCCTTAAAGACCTCTAACCCCATATCTAAAGCTTATGATAGCAATTATTCAACTGAAAACACTTCCATATATCATATCGGCCTCTTTATTCATCTGTCATTTTGCCCATGACTCACTTTATAAAGCACAGTGACTGTTTGTATCTGATAACATCCACATTTGGAGTGTGGAATGTTCATCTGCCAGGATTTTGTTGCTTGTCCAACAAATTTTCCATCTCCATCCAGGGAAGATCCCACTGGATTTCAGTCACGTCCTGCTTGGTTTTAGGCATTTCCTGTGGGACCCTTTCCCTTCTAAATGCCTTATTTGGACAGACGTGCAATTTCTCTCTGAAAAGCATGCATAAACATTGCAGATATTTGACACAGAGAGGAATGTGACACAGAAGTCTTCAATTAAATTAATATCATGCACTGATTAAAATAAACTACTGTAGCAATGATTTTTTTAATGTAAATTCGTCATACTAAGGTTCACAATGGCATGAGGTTGAATAAATATTGACACAATTTTTATTTTCTCGTTGAACTGTTCCCTTATGGGTGTATCGCCATTACTTTACCCGATCTCATGAGAAAACAACTATTTTACAAGTTGGTGATCCTGTATGAGTTCGTATGATTTGATTTGTATGAACACATTTGGGCATTGTGGGGGGTGGGGGTGGGGGGGGGGGGGGGGGGGGGATTGTACGAAAATGTAAGAATCACCACCAATTCGCCAAATAAGTTACAAATTGCCACAAGTGTGTTGGCATACTGTAGCCTACCTAAAACCTGGAAACAGCAACCAGAGCACAGGAAGAAGCACCAGAAGAACCAAGGTGATGCAGAGCCCCGACACCCAGACCAAAGTTCCTGCATTACAGAGTTTACAAGGATGGCTATAGCATAGAAACCCAAATTCAATCACAGATGTTCTGGATCTCATACCTGTATATGGCTTTTCATCATCTGAATCATCTGTGGAGTTCTCTTAAGACACAAAGTGACAGAACTGATAAAAGTTTGCACATGTATACACAGTGACTTAAAAGACATACAGACCTCATACAGACCTCACACATCTAACTGAAAGGTAGTTAACAGTATTGCAGTTACTGACTCACCTTTCATCACTGGACGAAGTGTGCTCATCAGGAGAATCACTGTACCATCTGGGAACAGAGATTAGGCCCATATATAAATATGCTTATATAAGTGTATTGCTTTACAATATAATGAAAGTATCATTTTATGATTTTAAATGAGCATTTTAAATCACAGTATTTCATACGATCAAAACACTTAGTGCCCTTTTTAAATTGACATTAAACTGTTTATAAAATGTCACAATGCGATGCGATTGTGATGATATATATATATATATATATATATATATGAGAGTGTGTTTGTGTTTGTGTGTGTGTGTGTGTATGTGTGTGTGTATCTTTATTATTGTCACTGATGTTCTTACAGACCACGTTGATGTTGATGATGTTGCTTGTCTTGTTTTCAGCAGTATTCTCACACCAGTAAAGTCCACTGTTCTTACTGTCAATGTCACTGAAATGACATTCTTCAGGCCTGTCTATAGATTCTGTGCCATTCAACTGCAAACATCCAGACCTCCTTTTAGCACCTTGACGCCTCCTCAGTATCCAGCCTGTTGAATTACCAGCATTCACTGAGCAGCGAAGGGTGAACTTTTCCCCCACGAGGTGTTGTCTGTTGTCAGGCCGGACCTCTAGAGAAGCGTGTGAGTGAGAATCTTTGACTGATTCATAGTGATTCACACTTTCAAATGCTCCATGTGTAAACAAGGAGGAAAGCAGCACTGAAAAGTTAATGCAACAACAATATGTTAACATGTTTCTCCATCTAAATGAGTGTATTGTATTGTATTGTAGATTTTATAAAACCAGGCTTAGAAGGATAAACATTGACAAAACAGGTCTGATTCTTGAGCAGTTAAACAATTGAGCAGGCAATTGTTAAAAAGAGTTCATACAAGAGTATTAAGAAGAAAAACCTCACCTAAGTAACCAGCAGCTGACAGAAGTCCCATGATTTCCTTTAGCGCTGGGTCTTTTTAAAGAGAAAAAGTGTGCAAGAAAGACATAATGACAGTGCAAAAACCAAGTGAACATTTAGAAACATTTATTTACCCCACCTTTTCCGCTTGCTAGATGATCTGATAAATCCGTTCACACAGTTTGTAAACTGGGAATTGGGCATTTCTTCTCTGCACATTAACCAGTGAAATTAGTAGCCTAATAGAAAAAGAAATACAACCTATTTGCACATCTGTTTGACCAAAATACTAAATAGACAAAAAATAATAATAAGGCAAGTTCAGCTGACACCCATAGCCTATTCACACTTGGCATGCCAATAATTCTCTAAATGAATATTTTTGTTATGCATTTTCAATAAGCGATTTTTTTTTCTTGCTTAGTAGGCTAAGTATTGTTTAGAATTTTGTCATTTGACATTTTACAAAGATATTTAAATATATATATTTTTAATTATTCAGTCTTTTCGTAACATAAAATAATAGATTTAATACATAAAAGGGCATGTTAGGTCCAACAGTGATTTTGAGTAGTCTATGTTCTTTAAATTGCAACTTAAAGAGAAACTACACTGCTTTCACCTCATTATTATAATTTCATTATTTTAATTTCATGTTTTTAAACATTTCATGGTTCTATCGTATTTTAGTTTTTATTGATTTTTAAAATAATTTGAACTGAACTTTTAACAGGACAAATAAGGGGCTTTTATTTTGAAAAGCGAACAAGTGGCGCTGTCCTGCATTCTAGCTTCACAATGCTTATTACCTGCATATGGCCAAATGTTACTAGACCCGACTAGAGAGGCGGGACGTCGTTTCCGTTCAACATAACATGCTGCTGAGGTAAATGGTCACTAGCATTTATTCTGTGAAGCGTTACTTACAATCAACAGAATTCCCAAAGCCAACAGAAATGGCTTTTTGAAAGAATTTCAGCTGTTGTGCTCAGATAGCCAGTGTTACCATCTGTTTGCAATAGTCGCTATTAATAATTCGGTATTCATATCATCAGCTCGTACACATGCAAGAAATGTTACAAATGCAGTTTAGCAGTGCTTTGTTAGCTGCTCATCAAGCATTTGTGGTATCCAACATTAGAGGTGTGTCTCCTGCATCATATTTTAACATTTGAGCAGTATTTATGTCCATAATTTATAACTGCTATGATTGCACCGTGCTGTGTAGATGAAGAAGACGTGATTGCAGGTGTTGTCGGATGCAGACAGGTGTTGTGATCAGGAGCAGTAGGCAGGACTGGACAGTGGACACCCATGGACACCTGGACACCCAATCCAAGAGCCAAACCCTTCATCCCCCGCCAGCAGCGCAGCCTCTACCTAACATGGAAATACAGACTCACCAACAAAAGAACAATGCGACGAATCTGCCAGGTCAGCATGTCACTTTATAAGATTATGCATAGTTGGCAAACTCTATCATATAACCTAAAGAGCAGGGTTTTTTTTTTTTTTTTTATAAATAAAAATATTTCATTGCTGTATTTGTCACAGTACACTGAATTTATTTTGAGTCTGCTTTCATAATTCACACACCTGTTGAAATGTCCTTTAAATTAGTTTTGTGCAAATGAATCAATTAAAAATATATTTACCAACTGAGTGATAACACACAACTGTTGGTCTGCAACGTCGCAATTACTGACAACATCATAAAGATTGTAGCAACAAATCCAGGAATGTCACTTTACCGGTCACTAATTACATTGCCACAATTAAAGTTTGGTTATCGGTTTATTTTGCAGTTAGCCTAACGTTATATAACGGTCACTTGTTATGGTTAGCTGGGCAGCACTTGATCCTGAGATGAAAGTACAGTAGGGTTAAAAAAAATTTTTAACATTGAAAACAATAAATATTTTGAATTAAAATGTATAAGATGTTTTTCTAGCTGAGGTCACTAATCAGAGCAAATTTGTGACACTGGACATGTGACCTTTGCACAAAAGGTCATGTTCTTGTTTCCTGTGAAGCACCAGATGCTCAGTGGAACATTTCAAATCATGCTTTACAACATGATCATCTGGATTTATTTTTGTGGTGTTCATGCAGCTCGAGAGTTCCTGTCATTATAAAAAATACTATAATTTTGATACTGTTTGTTTTGCAATTCATCTTGTACTTGAATTGTAATGCTGCCAATAAATTTTTTTATTAATTTACAAAAAGTGGTCTAAAGCCTGGAACACACCAAGCCGACGCCGACGAACTAGCGCCGATGAAAGCCGACTGTGTTGTCGCCTCTCGTCGGGGTAAAAAGCTGCACTTGAACACACCGAGAGAACTACAGCCGACTGTCAGCTAGAATGTGCGTTCTGCGCCTGCGTATAAATGAGACAACTGAACTGTCTATTTCTGCAGATATATTCGTCTATATTCGTCATTCAAAAAGGGGAAACCGACGCTGTCGGCTGCAGATACACAAACCATAAACAAAGCAGTGCGTGCTTACCGTTTTAAATATCAATCCTGCTAAACACTTTCTTTATTCCACTCCGCTCGTGTTAATATTGAAATATTCGCCAAGGAACACCCAGGTAAGATGACGTAACATAAGAACAGCCTTCTATCTGTAGAGTTTTGACTTCTTTGCTCGCTGTTTTGCTATTATTCTCGTGCATGACTCTTTCACTAAGCTGAACAGCCAATCAGAGTTCCCTCTTTCACCGACGGCCCGACGCCGATTCAACATGTCGAATCGGCCGAAACAAAGCCGACGGGGACCAATTTCAGCCGACGGCACGGAACCGTGCGGAACACACCGAGGAAACTCAGTCGGCCGACGCACAAAAACTGCCCGACGGCCGACCGTCGGCTTGGTGTGTTCCAGGCTTAAGATGTTTGGACCCCACTGTATGTCATTTCAATTAGCACAGTTTTTATGTTTGTGTGTGTGTGTACCTGCTTAAAAATATTTTAGAGAGAAAAAAGGTACCCATAAGTAAGCTAAATCTGACACAACCTCCTTTTGGAGATGTCATCATTTGGAAAAATGTATACATTTGTAAAAAAAAAATAAAGATTTTTTTTTAAATTGTAAAAATACAGAAAGTGGTTTGCTAGGGTTCAATATAGCATTTATAATTAGCTGTACATAAAAGCAAAATAAGTCTATGGAAAGTTCCCATTTAGATAGCGACGTAAGTGTGTGTGTGTGTGTGTGTAATTGCAGGCCAGTGCTGTCCTGTTTCTACTGATCACAGTGATTGTGAATATCAAACTCATTCTTGACACAAGGAGAGTTGCCAGTGAGGAGGATGCTGTTCAAGAATATGGTAATGTTGAAAACTGTCTTTTTGAACACTAAATGTTTTGTAAGGGGTATACAGTCAAAGACCCAGAACCAGATATGAAGAATGAAGACCCGGAGTCAGAATTATAAAAAATTAAAGAAAAGTTTTACTGAAGATAGTTTGCATTTTCATCAGCAGAAGTCAGCTTCAAGACTCACACAGGAGTTCGTAGGCCGCCCCGCTTACAGTTACAAAGATCACAGCAGTTATACCATTTCCAAGGTCTAAGCTACGTCATTGCTTACAGGTTGAATGATTCTCATTGGCTAAGAAACATTAAGAGCCTAAACAATTTAACACATGTGAGGAGATAGGGGTGCCTATCGCCATTAGTCAAGATAGTTGTCGTCCACTCATTAGATTTAGGTCTGTGGTGGCCTCGCAGGTTTGAGAAGGGCGCCGGGTTGTCTGGTCCGAACGTCCAGAACCTACATAGAATGTCATACGCACACACACACAAATAACAGACACTAGCAAATAACAGCTCCCATCAAGGCTGAAGAGAGTCTGAGCTCCTTATTATCAGTTAAGTATACCAAAACATAATGCTAAAACCTTCACTCGTTTGGGAGAAAAACAGATAACTGGCATTTACTCCCAAGGAAGGAAATATACTGGAAAGAATACATTTTAATACAACAATTAAAGTTTGATAGTAACGCTCAATATAGCTTGACCATATGTCCAGCAAAGGATCATATGTGTCCACGCTGCCTTTAGGACCCTCTAACCTTTCTACTGATCCCAGAGAAAGAGACAAACGGCCTTGTGGGTTACGGGGCCTTCGTGTCCTGCGTGTACTACGTGCAATCTAAAAGTAAGATTGGAATGCACCTAAAAGAAACTGGTTACTTGCATCCATGCATTTAAGAAAATATAATTTCACAAGCACAAGAATATAAAAATTATTATGTGATAATGAATATATTTGATTATTGATTTTTATAAAGGAAGTATATAACCATTCAAAATGATATATGATTATATATGTATTTGAAGAGGCAAGGGATTTTGACCAACCCTTCAGTTTAATGATACCTGATTGGCCAATTCCCATGTTAGAAATATTAAGTATTCTTATTACTTGAGTGGAATTATTTCAGAATATGTGGATCAAATCTTTTTTTTAACCTCTTTATTTATTTTTAACTTGGCGTTTACACTATTTCCGTTCTGAATTAGTAATTAGTTTTGAATTATTCCTTCTTTTTTTTTTTTGCTATCATTGAACATTTTCTCAGATGATGCCCTGCCTAACATGGAAACCCCACGCAGGCCAGCCAGTGGGAGGAAGGTTTTGGATATTGAGGTGTACTCTAGTCGCTCTAAAGTGTATGTGGCAGTGGATGGCACCACTGTAAGTGATTCTAAACCTGTTTTATGATATAACACATTTGCCACACTGTTACCAGATAAAGATATCTACAATATTTGATGTGTTTTTGCAGGTGCTGGAGGATGAGATGAGGGAGCAGGGCAGAGGCATACATGTTATAGTTTTAAATCAGGCCACTGTAAGCACACAGTCACACCTCATAATCTACTGTATCTTCTTGTATTATTACTATCATTTTTACGATGTCCACTCCATCATTATTTCGATTATTTCTAAGATTGTATAATTAAATGTTGCTGTATCGTCTTCCTTTAGGGTCATGTTATGGCCAAAAGAGTGTTTGATACTTATTCTCCCCATGAGGATGAAGCCATGATCCTCTTCCTCAACATGGTCACACGTGGCAGAATCCTCATCTTCACTATTAAGGTTAAAGAAATGCCTCTCCCATCCACTTTCTTGATTGTAAATTTGTGTTGTTTGTCTGTAAGTGCACTTCTTATTGGCCTCTTCAGGATGAGGGGACTTTCCACTTGAAGGATTCTGCGAAGAATCTTCTCAAAGGTTTGGGAAGTCAGGCAGCAGTTACCTTAGGCTGGAGGGATATGTGGACTCAGGTTGTGAAGAAGGGAGGTAAGGTCAATGCTTTTTGTCTTTTCACTCTATTATACTAGGTATGTTTGTTTATTGTATCTCATGACTAATTAGTTTTCTTCTGTGATGTTATATAATGTGCAGTGCTTATTTCATTTTCAGTTTACGCTCATTCGTGTATCATGGCTTTAAAACATTTAAATAGAAACATCAAATATTCTAGTAGAAAATGTGTATAATGTAGTTGTTAATATTACTCCTGACCAGGTCTGATTTCTGAGAGACGCACAGACGGCAACACGGCTATTTCATTTGCGAACATTGTGCTCATTTAATTCATAGACTTTACACTCATTTACTACACACACTCATTGTGTAGTGATTTTAGAGTTTTGATATAAAGTTAAGTCCTGAAACGCTTCTGATCACCTGATTGGTTCACTTAAAGCCGATTGGTTGTCCAATCGTTCTGTTTGTTCTATCATATTTATTCCTGACTTTGAATCGGATCAGTTCATTGTAGCCCTCCACCTTCCCCAGCACCACCTGCCTGGATCTGCTCGGGGGGGGGGGTTCTCCCTGTTTTCTTGCAGCAGCCTGAATTCAATTGACTGTTTTCATGTGCATTTTTAGACGTATCCTCACTCATCCAGCAGCAACGTAGCAAATCAAGTCCACCAAGACCATGCCTATGTACATTCCATGTTTATTAATAAATGCTGGTTAAATTCCTTGTCATGATTGAAATATAGCTATAATATTGTGCTATCCCCTGACTTGCTTTTTATCCAGCTAACACGCGGAGTGACTGTCTGGAGACTATTTTCATTCTCTGTAAAATTTGTGATTTGTTTTGAAGCCATTATCCGTGCCTTTCTGAATAAGGCATTAAAGGGATACTCCACCCGGAAATTCTGTCATCATTTACTCACCCTCAAGTTGTTGCAAACCTGTATGAGTTTCTTTCTTCTGCTGAACACAAAGGACGATATTTTGAAGAACGATTGGAACTTTGGTACCCATGACTTCCATAGTATTTGTTTTTTCTACTATGGAAGTCAATGGTGCCAAACAACTGTTTGGTTCCAATCGTTCTTCAAAATATCTTCCTTTGTGTTCAGCAGAAGAAAGAAACTCATACAGGTTTCCAACAATTTGAGGGTGAGTAAATGATGACAGAATTTTCATTTTTGGGTGGAGTATCCCTTTAAGCTTCAGGCTCATCCCTATACTGTTTATTTTCTCAGGTCAAGTTTATGGGGAGAAGCACTCCAAGTCTCCTGCTCTGTCCACATGGGGTGATCCTGTGCTGCTGAAGACTGAGGTCCAGCTGACAGCTTCTGAAGGTATTTTTGCCGTTATTATGAGTGTAGATTATGTTGGATTAAATGATGCAATTACGTTATGGGTTATATCAGAGTTGTTTGTTTATGTCATGATTTATTTTAGAGGCTGAGTGCCCTTGGGCAGACACAGAGCTGAACCGCCGGAGGAAACTTTTCTGCAGTAAAGTGGAAGGATATGGGAGCATTTGTAGTTGCAAAGATCCAGCCCCTATAGAGTTTAATCCTGACCCAGTAAGACACACATCATGTGACCTAAAATACCTTTATACACTACCGTTCAAAAGTTTGTGGTCAGTAAATCTTTATCCCCCAGTTTCACAGACAATGCTTAAGCCTAGTCCTGGAGTAAAATGCATGTTTGAGCTGTTTTAACTGAAAGCAACTTCCATTGTTTTGTTGAGGATGTCAAGATGCACAGCAGTAATGTTTTTTTTTCTTCTAAGGCCCGTTTAAAAAGCTACTTAAATGTCCTAATTGAACTAAGGCCTAATCCTTGCTTAATATAAGCCCCATCTGTAAAACCAGGCCTATTACTTCTATTGCATTATTTAAATTGATCAAATGCGTCATTGTTACAAATACAAACATTTCTATTATAATGCTGTTTTTTGAACTTCAGAAACCTGAAAAAATGTATCACGGTTTTTACAAAAATATTAAGCTGCATGAAAATCTTTCTTGAACATCGAATCCGCATTCCGCATATTAGAATGATTTCGAAGGATCATGTGACACTAAAGACTGGAGTAATGGCTACTGAAAATTGAGCTTTGCCATAATAGATGTAAATTGCTTTTAAAAATATAAAACTGTTATTTTAAAATTGTAATAATATTTCATATTAATGCTGTTTTTACTGTATTTATCAAATAAATGCAGCCTTGATGAGCAAAACAATCTTTCAGTAACATAAAATCTTACTGACCTCAAACTTTTGAACAGTAGTATATCTTAAGGTTGGATCAATACCAAAATCACAGTCAGTGGAACATGAATTTTTTTTTTTTTTTTTTTTTTTTTAAAGAAGATATTTCATACTTGAAAAATACTTAAAGGATAATGAAATTCCAAATACAGAGAGTGGTACATTCATCAGAGTCAGATGCTGATATTTTACAATGATAAACTTTTGGTACCATGATGTTTTCTTTATCTATGGTATCAGAAACGTCACACAACAAAATGCATGATACCAAGACAGACTCTACAAGGTTTCTCTACAAGTTTCCTTGTTTACTGTTTTTTTTTTTTTTTTCAAACAAGTGTTTAAACTTTCACTTGTAAGTGGTTGTTATACCCTTCATCCTGAGATAACTTTACCTTTTATATAAGCATTTAGACAGCAGAACAAAGTCTTTGTCTTAAATCTGTGTTGTTGACTAAACCTTTCCATGTCCTGTCTAGCTGCCTAACAACAATGTCTACAGCATCCCAGTAGCTGTTATAGCTGGAAATAGACCAAACTATCTCTATAGGTTAGTAAACTTAGATTGCTTTGTACTTTACCACACTACCAAATCACCTCATGGATGTATTAGTTAAATTTGTGCACATATTAATACACACACAAACACAAACATCACGGTTTCCACAAAATTCTTAAGCAGCACTAGTGTTTGCAACATTGATGAAAAGAAATGTTTCTTGAGCACCAGATGAGCATATTAGATATTTCTGAAAGATCATGTGGCATGATCTCACATAAAAATATTTTTTGTCTATGCTGTTTTGGTTTGGCTTCAGTAGAGAAATCAGAAACCCTGTATATAAGAAAGCATACCAGACTGATGTATAAGCCATGTTTGTTTCTCTAGAATGCTGCGCTCTCTTCTTTCCTCCCATGGTGTCAATCCACAAATGATCACTGTTTTCATCGATGGATACTATGAGGTGCCATCTCCTTTTCCTTTTTTGTTCTCTTCTTCAATGCATTCTTTTTTTCTTCTTCATTTTTGTAAGACGATTCATACATGTATACAGAATTAACAAAAACATTTTCTGCTTAGGAACCTATGGATGTGGTGGATCTCTTCGGTCTTAAAGGAGTTCAGCATACCCCTATCAGTATTAAGAACGCTAGAGTGTCACAGGTGATGCATTTCTTGGCTGTTTTTTTTTTTTCTTTGAAAGATGAATAAAACAAAAAAAAGTCACTTGACATAATGGCCAGTTACAGCTGATTGCTGTGGGCTCAGTTTCAGTGTCAAAGTATTTAGTGTCGAAGCATGTGAATGACCATAAGATGGTACTAATGTTCTCAAGTTCCTTTTGTCTCAGCACTACAAAGCCAGCTTGACTGCAACCTTTAATCTGCATCCAGTAAGTAAATGTTCACCTGCCTTAGAATTTGTCTACAGTTACATTGTAAAACAGCTTGCAAGTGTCTGACTTTGGGGGGGGGGGGGTGAAATTATGTTTTAGGATGCAGATTTTGCCATTGTCCTGGAGGAGGACCTGGACATTTCCATAGATTTTTTCAGGTATGGATGTTGAATATAATATAATATAATATAAAAATAATATATTATACAATAATATACAATTTTACTGAATTACACATGTAATACTAAACGATATTCACTAGATGGCAGCAGACATATATTATTTATCACAGGCTTGTTTAGAAATGTATGAGTGCAGAATCATCTCAGTTAATCTTAACAGAAAAGATTGAATAACATTTGACAGATCATCTCTAAATATCTTTACATGTTTGATTTATTTCTTCTCCCACATTTGTCTCTAGCTTTCTCAGTCAGACCATCCATTTGTTGCGTGAGGATGACAGTCTGTACTGTATCTCAGCGTGGAATGACCAAGTGAGTGGAAAAAAAGAGTTTCTTTTCATTTTGTTCATGACTTGGAAATAGGCTGTTTACTTTGATAACATCTCGGGAGTGAATGTTGCCATATGCTCTTTCTGTTGGTATATTTTTCTTTTGCTAAACAGTGGTTGGTGTATCCTCAGCCTAAATTTCTCTAAGTCTTGAAAGGCCTTCAAGCAGTGCGCTTGACCATGCTGCTGTTCTGTTTTGTAGGGCTACGAGCACACGGCAGAGGACCCATCTTTGTTGTACAGAGTGGAAAGTATGCCTGGCCTTGGCTGGGTGCTTAAAAAAAGCCTTTACAAGGATGAACTGGAGCCCAAATGGCCAACTCCAGAGAAGGTGAAGCCGCTAATATCCACATTTAGCCTATAAATTATGTCTAAATAGGACACATTTATAGATTTACAGTTTACATGCAAAACCCCTCAAAAGTGATGTCTCATTTGGCGCAATTTTCCACTCCATTTGCATGCATGAGAAAACTTCTAACAGTGATTATTCCTTCTTTCACCAGTGGGAAATGCTGCTCTCACTATGGAATTTAGCATTTTGTTCTCTGATTTGAATAACATTGCTAACCTTTGAAGAGTCAGTCTGGTGTGTAATGTATAGTGTCTAGAAACGACCAGAAAATCTATTTATTTTAATTGCAACATATAGTGCCTTCATTTTGAAACTATGAGAAGAAAATTGGCAGTTTTGCATATACTGTTCTACATGCACTACCATTCAAAAGTTTGGGGTCTGTAAGATTTTTTTGTTTTTGATAGAAGTATCTTATCTTAATTTGGTGCTCAAGAAAAAAATCTAATTATCAATGTTGGAAACAAATAGTTGCAGTTGCTGCTTAATAATTTTGTGGAAACTGATTTTTTTTTTTTTAAGGAATCTTGTGTACCATTATAAATGTCTTTACTGTCACTTTTGATCAATTTGGTGTGTCTGCAGAATAAAATTATTAATTTGTTTCAAGAAAAAGAAAATACTGACATCAAACTTTTGAACAGGAGTGCATCATCTAAATATATTAAACCTGCCACTGGTATCTTTTTGTTTTGTTTTTCTTCTATTCGTATTGTCGCCATCCCTTAGCTATGGGACTGGGACATGTGGATGCGGATGCCAGAACAGAGGAAGGGGAGAGAGTGTGTCATTCCTGATGTCTCCCGCTCTTATCACTTTGGCATCATTGGCTTAAATATGAATGGTTACTTCCATGTAAGTGAGATGGTTATACTGACGATTATGTTAATTTCTGTTGTTTACTTGTTAGTTTACTTGCAACAGTTCTATTATTATCTTAATTATTTTATTGACTAAGAATATTTTTCAACGGAGAACTGAATCTAGGACTCTGTGAATCCAGTGATACAGTGTTTATTTCAAATGTAAAATATTATAAATAGACAATGTTTTATATACAATTTGAATTCAATGAAATGCATGTTTCTCTACAGGAAGTTTACTTTAAAAAGCACAAGTTCAACACTATTCCGAATGTTCAGATGAAAAATGTAGATAGGTATGTATTGTTCCTGCTGTTTCTATATTGGCCACTTTGTCTATTATTTATATCATGTTCAATATTTTTTTATAATCTCTCCATTTTTACAGCTTGAAGAAAGATGCTTATGAGATTGAAATCCAAAACCTACTCCGGTAATTTTATCTGAAGATCCTAGTCCTTCATTGCAGAGTTAATGTAACACCATAAAATGGCAACATTACCACATCTACAGTAATCATTTGTGTGTCTGCAGTGAGGCTGAGGTTCTGGACCACAGTAAAAACCCATGTGAAGACTCATTTATCCCAGACACTGAGGGAAAGACCTTTGTAATGTTCATCAAAATGGAGCAAGAGACAGATACAAACACCTGGACAGAACTGGCAAAAGTATGTTGAATTTAGTTGAGGATGCTTTGTGAATATTCTTGGTTTAAATATAAATATATAATAAATATATAAAGGAGATTTAGTTTGAGCATCTCAAAGAACAAATGGCTGCATTTCTGAGCAGGTTAGCCACTATTTACCCTGCATTTATTGTTCGGTGGGTTGCAATGAATCTGTTGAATGAGATCTGTGGCCTCTTTATATGTTGAAGAGACTGCAAGGGTAGATAAATGGCTAAGAGACACTGAGAAATATAAGGGGATAGATATATAAATACTGAGGTGAGAGTAGTATTAGGTTATGGCCTCATTTTGTTTATTGCCTATAGTGCCTGCACGTGTGGGACCTGGATGTACGAGGTTATCACAAAGGACTCTGGAGGCTCTTCAGAAAGAAGAACCATGTCCTGGTAGTTGCTGTTCCAATCTCCCCGTACTCGTGAGTATACATTTAACAATTGATTTATCTAATTTCCAAGCACTGGAACACAATGTTTTTTTATATCTGATACTGCTTTATATTAGAAATGTTCTATCAAAAATACAACATTACATCAATGAAACCAAAAACACAAGACAAAGTATAGGATGAACCATCTTATACCGCTAGCTTCACTGGATTTTTGGCTCATTCTTCCTGGCAGATTTGTTTCAGGTTGTTCAGTTTAGTCCGATTCAGGTGTGTGCCCCAAAAGTGTCACACATTCTCAGTTGGATTTAGGTTTAGACTTTTTGTTCTTAATTGTTGTTTCCAAGCCTTTTTTTTTTCTTTCTATAATCTCAGCAATTCGTGTCACAGTTATTTGTCGCCTTTATTTATATAGTGCTTTATACAATACAGATTGTTTCAAAGTAGCTTTACAGTGAGAACAGGAAAACTATGCATTTCGGCTGTTGTTCAGGTGAAGTCAGTTCATTGTTGTTTCAGTTCCGTTGTAAAGATAATCAATTATTGAATTAGTTCATTTCATCTATAAAGCAAAAAAAAAAAAATATGTCATCGTCCAGCTCAGTTCAGTTCTCATACAACAGCATCCGTACAGTCCGATCAATAATATTGTTGAATATTAAGTGTCCCAAACTAAGCAAGCAAGCAAGAGGCGACAGTGGCAAGGAACCCAAACTCCATCAGGTGACAGAATGGAAGAAAAAAAACCTTGGGAGAAACCAGGCTCAGTCAGAGGGCCACTTCTCCTCTGGGACAATGAATAAACACTGTGTCATTATGATTCAGGCTGCATCACAAGTCAGAGTTCAGGGGCCGGTTGCACCAGCTGTGCGTAAGTTACAACTTAGCCTAGTTTTGACATAAATGGGCACTAAGTTACAACTTACTCACTACTAAATATTTTTTACGTTGCACCATTAAACTTAGTTTAAACGCAACTCTACGTTCCAACTAAATATTTACGGCAGCTTCCGATCAGGAGTAACGGTTGGAATAAAATATCAGACAGACTGAACTGCATCAATAAGCTCTTCTTTTACCTGACAGACTTCAATTCTTTAGACATATATGATAATGCTGACATTTATACTCTCCTACATTTTAAGAGAGAGAACATTATGTGAAAAGATTACTTTGTTAGCTAGCCTGGCAAGCCAGACCTACATCAAGATGTTAGGTCTGGGAACTCACAATTGGCATACCTCAATCCAAGGGGCGGGATAAACGGTTGTCTTTCAATATTCCTCGGCACGCAATAGGATAGCGCTACAACCAACCAGAGCAACGAACGGCTGTGGCCGAGTGAGTCCCATGCGTTTTTCCACCAGTGAACCAGCTAGTTGGTATATTAAACTTTTGCCGTATACGGTCGTCAAAACTCTGAACACATCTTCCTTTTTTAGGAATGACTTAAGTGACGTTCTCTTAACTCCAAGTCATCCAGAGTCGCGGGCAAAGCCGATTCGAAAGACCGCTGTTCGCCAGCAGCATCTTCTTTGTTTTCAAGCAGAGGGAAATCACGCGGAACCGTCATAACTCTGCCGTCATTATGTTAAGCCCGCCCACCAACTCTACACGATCTGATTGGCCGGACCGGTTTTTGGTTTTTCCAGCTCAAAAGTCTATGGAGAGTTGCTAGGCCCTGTCCCAAATGGCACACTTCATGTGCACTTTCGGTCTTGTGGACTTACAATGGCTGCCGCGTGCGCGTGTCCGTTAAGTCTGTGAGCCCGCAGTGTGTCCCATTTGTCATTTTTAGATCTCAGAATGGTGCTCGCGAGCGCCCCCTCTGCGGTCGATTTGCGCCCTTGATGCGCACTTTTGCCGAGCCCACGCTGATGCGGACTCCACAGCAGACTTCTTCCCGACATTCAAAGCGGCGTTACGTCGCGAAAGTGCGGACTCAGAGGAAGACCGAGAGTGCTTAGGGTTCCATTTGGGACAGGGCATAGACCACACTTTGCTGCAAAATAATTTTTGCTGCCGCTAGGGTGCGTCTAGATTTCTAGGCTATTTGTTAGCAGCTCTTTAACATGAACCCGTCCTAAACAGCGCCGCTGTGTGCATTGGTCCATGTTGTGCATGTCAAATATCAGTCATAATCAATAAACGTAATTTCTTGTTTTTTGTATTTATTTATTGATCCTTATTAATTTAATTTCAAATACAGTTTCTGAATGTTATTTATATATAAAAATACTTATGTTATTCATGATCAAGTATCGTATTAAATGGAAACTTATTTTTACCGTTAGTAACGTGAGGCAAAAGAAGTTAGAATGAAGGATAAACTGAAATGCACGGCCTTTCAACACAACTTCTGCTCACGTAGTTGAAGGCTGCTATTGGTTCATCGAGGCTAAACGTCATATTATGCGACTACGCATTACTTTACGGAGAGTTTACGACCTACTAGCTATGTTCTACCTTACGAACAAATGGTGCAACGGAATAAAGTACAGAGTTAGTTACAAACTAGCTAGTAGTCACTAAGCCTCTAGTGTGGACTTTACGTTACAATTTAAGAAAGAACTTACGAACGGCTGGTGCAACCCTACCCAGATCGGGATCGGGAGCCTTAATTTCAAATATTCATCCAGTTCCTTTTGCTTGAAGACCTTTACTGTTATTAACAATACTTAACTTAATACATGTCAGATAAAAAACTATGTCAGTTTCAGGGGTTAGAAAAAAAATCATTGTAGGATGTGTAATTCAGTAAATTGAATTACATATTATAAACTATTTTATATTATATGATATTAATTATAGCACAATTAAAAGCACTCTTAAAAGGAATAAAAGCAAAACATATGGTTAGTAATAGCTGAATATTGTTATACCTTATTATTATACTTATGTATTGTATTTTATGACCTTCTTACTATATTTTACTTCATATAAAATGTGTGCATGCATGTTTTTAACTTTCTGTGCGTGACCTTCACTGCATCTTTTCCCCCCAGTGTTAAGAAGCCCAATAATGTCACTCCCATTCACCTGGAGCCAGCACCTAAAGAGGAGGGACCTCCTGTGGAACAGATTTAAAACACTGCTAATCCCACCCAAAGGGCCTTTCCTAACCACTAACAGACAAAGGCCTATGTCAGGCCGATAATGGGCCTTATGTTACTCTCTAAGGCTATTGCAAGACACAGTATTGGATGAACCATCCTCTGCTGGTAGCCTCTAGGAACTACAGGCTCTTTGAAACTAGAACAATATGAGTGTGGATTTCTAAAAACAGTGTGTGACGTGACCTTCTCTTGTTGTTGGTATGTATTTTGCATTGGGAGCATTTCCTGAGGTCATGAAATTTCATATGAGTTTATGCTGGAAGGTTTGACTTTAGTAAAGAATTGATAGATGTTTTAAAGTATTACCAGTGCTGGTTTGAGTTCCTGAATGTGACAGCAGATTACTTCAAATCAGGATGCTGCAAAAAGGGATTAAGAGGATATGGGATATGGCAGACGTAACTTTTTTTTTTTTTAACACTGAGTGCTTTGGGCCGTCCTGCACATACGTTTTAACATATGTCTATTTATTTTGTCAATATCAAGATAACTGCAGGTTTATTTTTACCTAATGAATTCACTTTTACACAAGAAAAATGCATTAAGAAACAAAAGGCTTACATTTGTTTACAAATGAGCTATGTACAGACATATATATGTACAGACATATATATTTTTAGAACAAAAGATTATGATCATATTTTTATTAGTTTGAGTTTTTTAGTGGCTGAAAACATACAAGAAGTATCCCTGTACAACACATAATGACCTTTATTGGACTGCACAGTCTGAAAGTTTTTAAACTATATGATTTTATTTTTATTTTTTATGTTGTGCTAAAATGTCTTTCCAGCAAGATTTAAGAATCCTATTTCGCAGAGAATGATAGTTGATGCTGCTTAGGTGAGATCTTTGTGTCACAGCCACTAAAGAGCCTTATGAGCAGAGTGGAGGTTTAACACTTGAAATCAATGCAATCTCAGTTGCATCATAGATCTACCCTGTGTTAACGTGAGTTTCTGTAAGTGAAGATGTGGTGAAAAATTGATTTCTCATGCAATAATGTCCAAATCATTTCATGGAGGAGATTTCAGATTAGATTGCTGTGGGTTTCAGTGATCAGTGCTAAAATCACTACAGATATTTTATTTGTGATGCCACTTAACATTTTTATAATATCTGGAACATGTGCAATACCATAATAGAAATGTTTGTCATCTCAACATATTATTGTGTACTCAAGTTTGCAGAGGTTGTGTCTAATATGTCAGATTCTCCAACAGTTTTGTATTTTAAGTAGTTAAAATTGATTGGTTTTCTTGTATAAAATAAAACTGTTTTCATACCTTTTTTTCCCTCTGTCCATTTTATTATTTCCTTCGTTGTCTTTCTTAAATTTGTATTAAGTTTTGCTGTAGCTATTTGTTTTCTTAATGTTTGCAGGATTCATAGTAAGGCCTGTTACTTTAATGATTTTTTTAATCATGACATAAATTGAAATGAGATCTAATAATTATAATTGTAATGTTTTTTATAATGTGGCAAGCAGTGGTTCTCAACCTCAGAACAGTGGAGAGTCTGCTGGCAAATCAGAGCAAGACAGAGCTCGTAATAAAACGAGAAACAACATTGGCTTGGCTTTTCCCATATGGCGAGAAATTAGGGATTAGAAATGTTATAAAAGTGACGTGGTCATTCAACATGTGAGTAATGTATTTTCTGTTTTAGATACATTTCTGTTTTTAACAAATTTTTAATTGACTTTTTAACAGAAAAATTATCCTGCTCTCTAACAGGATTCATTGTAAAGCAGTATCTATTAAAGGGCACCTATTATGCAAAATTCACTTTTACAACATGTCGTTTAAACATAAATGTGTGTACACAATCACCCTATAATGGTAAAAATCCACCCAGTGCTTTTTTTTAATCCCCATAAATCATAAGCAGTGTCTCAGAACCATAGACAGTAAAATAAATGGACACAGCGACCCCATAGATTTCAACTGAGAATCTGGGCTTCAATAGGCTTCATGCACAGCTTCACTACTTCCTGAACTTCAGCCAGCCCTTTGTTTCCTGTCTGTCATTATTGGACAAACTGATTAATTCAGGTGTGCCTGCGGCCTCAGTAACAATAATCAGGCACACCTGGATTAATCAGTTTGTCCAATAATGACAGACAGGAAACAAAGGGCTGGCTGAAGTTTAGGAAGTAGTGAAGCTGTGCATAAAGCCTATTGAAGCCCATTAGAAGCACTCACTTCCTGATGGCTGAGCGTACTGCGCAGGCTCAAACTGAGCTTGATGACGTAGATGTGACGTGAGCAACCGTTCTGACAGTTGTAAGTCAGTGATGGTCTGCTACAATGGCTGGCGGCCCCCAAGCAAAGCTTCAGTTTCCGGCTGGTGGATTACCTCCTTACTCAGAGAACCAGAGCCATAGAGAGAAAGAGTTGCGACCACTGATCTATATACACTCACCGGCCACTTTATTAGGTACCCCATGCTAGTAACGGGTTGGACCCCCTTTTGCCTTCAGAACTGCCTCAATTCTTCGTGGCATAGATTCAACAAGGTGCTGGAAGCATTCCTCAGGGAGTTTGGTCCATATTGACATGATGGCATCACACAGTTGCCGCAGATTTGTCGGCTGCACATCCATGATGCGAATCTCCCGTTCCACCACATCCCAAAGATGCTCTATTGGGTTGAGATCAGGTGACTGTGGAGGCCATTTTAGTACAGTGAACTCATTGTCATGTTCAAGAAACCAATTTGAAATGATTAGAGCTTTGTGACATGGTGGAAGTAGCCATCAGAGGATGGGTACATGGTGGCCATAAAGGGATGGACATGGTCAGAAACAATGCTCAGGTAGGCCGTGGCATTTAAACGATGCCCAATTGGCACTAAGGGGCCTAAAGTGTGCCAGGAAAACATCCCCCACACCATTACACCACCACCACCAGCCTGCACAGTGGTAACAAGGCATGATGGTTCCATGTTCTCATTCTGTTTACGCCAAATTCTGACTCTAACATCTGAATGTCTCAACAGAAATCGAGACTCATCAGACCAGGCAACATTTTTCCAGTCTTCAACTGTTCAATTTTGGTGAGCTCTTGCAAATTGTAGCCTCTTTTTCCTATTTGTAGTGGAGATGAGTGGTACCCGGTGGAGTCTTCTGCTGTTGTAGCCCATCTGCCTCAAGGTTGTGCGTGTTGTGGCTTCACAAATGCTTTGCTGCATACCTCGGTTGTAACGAGTGGTTATTTCAGTCACTGTTGCCCTTCTATCAGCTCGAACCAGTCTGGCCATTCTCCTCTGACCTCTGGCATCAACAAGGCATTTCCGCCCACAGAACTGCCGCTCACTGGATGTTTTTTCTTTTTCGGACCATTCTCTGTAAACCCTAGAGATGGTTGTGCGTGAAAATCCCAGTAGATTAGCAGTTTCTGAAATACTCAGACCAGCCCTTCTGGCACCAACAATCATGCCACGTTCAAAGTCACTCAAATCACCTTTCTTCCCCATACTGATGCTCGGTTTGAACTGCAGGAGATTGTCTTGACCATGTCTACATGCCTAAATGCACGTAGTTGCCGCCATGTGATTGGCTGCTTAGAAATTAAGTGTTAACGAGCAGTTGGACAGGTGTACCTAATAAAGTGGCCGGTGAGTGTAGAATGACTGGATAGCTCATGACATCATAAACAGTGAAGCCACCGCGCCGCCATATTGTGATTCCCTAGTGAGCTCACGCGTTCTATTGAATCAATAGGAAATTGTATGATTTGACTGAGAAAACATTGCATAACGAGACACCGTCTTTAAATCTAAAGTCTCCCTGAACAGTCTTACAACGCAAACATCCTAAGCATTTAAATTGGTATTTGTTTAAAGTCGGAAATTATTCCTGCTTACTAAAAATTAAGTATATGTGAATTGTGAACTTAAAATTTAGCTCTTTCTGATTGTGTTTTACAGATAGATCAGTAGTCTGTTCAAGTATTTGATTAGTTAGCAAGAACATGTCCAGGAAATGCATAATACAAATTGTATGGTTTAATGTACACCTGTTTCACCTCTTATTTACCCCTTATTTACACTGCACACGTCTGCGGCGCGTTTACAGCTGCGACACGGCTACCGGAGCTGATCGCGCCCACAAATCGGCAAATCACGTGGAAATGCTCCCGGTGTGAGTTGTGCAGTGTAAATAAGGGGTTTACATATAGGCCTACTCCGTTTGCAGTGCATATTTTTTTACCATACCCATGTCAACAGGTTAGAGCTTTCACTGCACACGGATGCCCGTCCTGTGCGGTGCGTGCAGAGATCGTTTGTGCTGCAGGCGCTGAATTAAAGTGACAGCGCATATGGTTCGTGGTCAAACTGAACACGGATTGACATGAAAATATTAAATATATGCATTTAATTAAATTTATAATAAGTAATGCATTGAATAATACGTTTATTGGGTTTAAACTTGAATACGTCTGTGAAAGAATGCATAGTAGGCTATACATTTTTTTTAAACAACACGGAAATAGCGACAATTGTGCATATAAATTACTATATATGGGCTTAAAGTACAACCTGTGAGCAGTTTTTCAAGATTGTGATCTTCGTTTTTTTACACTTGTTGATGCACAGCGGGTCGGAGCTACTGATCTCTGTATAACGGCCGTTGGAGCCCTCTGCTGGTAGGGAATCGTAAGATGGCTGCTCGAACACTTCCGGTGGCTTCACTGCCTGGTGGCAGCAAGGGGGTAATCCATCGACCGGAAGTTGAAGCCGGCCGGGTGCCGCCATGTTGTAGCAGAACTTCACTTGCGTTAGCATTTCCATTGACTCCCATTCATTTTTGCGTCACTTTGACAGCGAATAACTTTACATCTGAGGCGTTTAAAGACTCCATTTGTCCATTATTTATTTCTAAAGAAACACGACAATGTATAAAGGGCTCCATTACCTTCTATGTTACACTATGGCCCCGTAGAAACAGATTTAGTAAAAATAGGCTAACGATTGCGTCATAACCACTCGACTCTCTGTCGCGCTGTACAGAAGTTACCGTACAGACAGGAGGAGAAGCTCGCAGGCAATCGGGGGGACGCCCCGTCAAGGGAGAAGCCCATAGATAATGAGTCCATAAAAGCAACGGAATTCTTACTCCTGCTCACTCACGCCAAAGAACTCTTTGCTCAAGTTCCCCGTCTCTGCAAGATTAACGTTGGCAGTTTTCACGCACAGCTACTAGAAGATTAACGTCTGTCAGACAGGTTGCTCACGTCATCAAGCTTAGTTTGAGTCGGTCTGAGTCTGCGCGTCAGGAACGGAAGTTCTCAAAAATC